ATTTTGTGTGTGTGTGAGAGAGAGGGAGAGAGAGAATCCCAAGGAGGCTCCATGCTATCAATGCAGAGCCTGACACGGGGCTTGAACTCCTGAACTATGAGATCATGACCTGGGATGAAATCAAGAGTCAGATGCTTAACTGACTGAGCCACTCAGGTGCCCCTCATTTACCCAAATTCTTAGTCTATGGATCATTCCTGGAGCACTTACGTCCTCAAAGTGAGCAGGGGTGAGGGGTGAAGGCTTACCTGTGGGCAGTGGGAGCATTTTGGAGCTTGTTTTCTCACTCCTGGGTGTCCCCTCTCCAGCCTGGGTGACTCGGAGAGCAGCCTCACCAGAGGGGACCAGAGAGACCCACAGTGCTGCTGGAGCATCATCCCTCCATTTCCATCAGCAGCAAATGCCCCTCTGGCCCTCTGAGCGAAGGACCACACTCTTAATGGACATTGATGAAATAGTAATGACCACAGCAGCATCGAAAGACATGAAGGAAGAGAGACCACTCAGAATTTAATAGGAGATGGCTCTGGATTGACTGAGGACACAGCTCCTCTTTATTAAATCATCTATGAACCACTTCAACGGAGATGCTCGTGGAATGGAATGATCTAATTACAGCAGTATCCAGAGGAAGAACACACAGCCAGGAGAGCACGGATGCCACAGGTCGTTTACAAGGAACTTGGCGATACAATTTGGTGCGGGTTTCCTTTTTTATAATTACAGACCTTTTTCTTCAAATAAATACACCCGAATCACATAGAATAAAAACAAAACCAAACCCCCAGAAACCGAAAAAACAAAAACAAAAACAGAAACACCGCACATGATACAATAGCCTTATAAATGAGAGTGAAACGGATACACCTCCAGAAACAGGTTGAGAATGGTCTATGCAGAACCAGAATGCTTTGGGATGGTGTTCCCATCTTGAGTGACAATCAGAGAAAAGAACCAGCACACATTTCCCATTATACGATTGTATCCTGTACAAAGTCCAAGAATAGTTCAAAACAGCTATAAAATTCTGATTTTGTGGGGCCGTGGCAGCTAAGTGGTTTTGTGTAATACATTTCTAAGAGCTGATTGTGTATTAAGTCTGACTACTTACTATTATTTTAAGCTTACATAGACTGAACACAACATTATATGTATTTAAAGATCACGTTATTTCCTCTGTATTTCACGGCAGTTCTTTCCTTCCCTTGAATTTTCTTTCTAGCTAGTTGCCTTTCCTAGGAAAAGCCATAATGGTGAAGTGTTAAAGAGAAGTAAACCCAATTTGAATCCTATGTTTAAACAGGAAAAGCATCTGCCATCACCGAACAAAATATCCGCCCCCCGCCATCACCTTTGTAAAGTGAATATTAACCTACGTAGATGTTAAATAGCTCTTTTCCCTACCCTCCAAGGCCAGGCTCATCATCCCTCCTGGCAAGGCACCCGGACTAAGCTAGCACCTCTCAGTTCTCATACGTGCAGGACTACAATTTAAATGCAAATAACCCTGTGCCTCATTATCTGAGAAGTTCGTGCAGACACAGTACAGTTGTGACTTTGCCTGTGAAAATAAAAGGAGGTTCATCTGTATTCGAACACACGCATTACTTAGAGTAGATTCCAAAGAGCAATTCATCACTGGTCTCAAATTAAACACTGGAGTTGCGGAGTGCCTAGGTTACGGAGGAATGCCTTCCTTTTTGCTATACAGGAGACGCTTTCCTACAAAGGCAAGGAGATAGGAACTTCTCTGACCATCGCTCTTCAGTGAGTACCCAGTGACACTGGGTGACTGGCCTTTAATAGGAACACAGCTAGTTGAGTGGAAAAGATACATTTATGGTAACGCTAAGCACAGCTGGATGACGATGTATATGCCTCCAAATACCACTGACGGGAAAATGACCACATCAGCTTGAAATGCGGGAAAATTATCCACAGTGATTTAGCAAACCGACCTCACTCCAGAAGATAGTATTTTTTGTTTTTTTATGTTTATTTTTTGCAAAATCATCTTCTAAATATAAGGTTATTCTAAAATAATTCTTTGGTTAAAGTATACTTCAAATAAAAAGTAGAAACTCCTCCAAGCCTTCCACTACAGGGTGAAAAATACCCCCCTCTTTTAGCCATCAGATGGCCATTTAATCAGCCATTCAGATTCTATGAATCTAAATGTAATGGAAAACACTGTATTCTAACTCCACACTGGGGTAAAGCTCCTAGCTACCGACGCAGCGATGGAGAAGAGGGCCTGGGAAAGTAAGACTCCCAGCTTGTGCATTAAAATGTGCCAATTATTCTAGTCCACAAGGAATAGACGTGGCATGTTAAAATCACCGAAACCCAAGTCCCATTTATGAATAATCCTGGGGCATTAGCCGATTGATGTGGCACAGTAGGGCAAGCAGCAAACTGTTGCAGAGTTTCAGTCCCAGATTAAATCCTTCAGTTTCATCTCTGTTCATTTCAGGTAACTTTCTACATTAAAAAAAAAAAAAAAAAAAAAACCTCTCTACCAGAAACATTTGATTCTTCCTCTCTGGCATGTCCGTCCTTCCTTCCTTCCTTCCTTCCTTCCTTCCTTCCTTCTCTCTCCTCCCCTCCAGGTTTTGTTCTTAATAAATATCAGCCTCAGATCCAAAAGAACCACGCTGAACTTCAGGTTGTAATATCAACCTAGGATTTGTGGATGAAAATGAAATCATGTAATATACTTGTGCATTCCTCTTATTACACATAGATTCAACATGATTTTCAGAGAATTTCTCAGTTGGGAGTCCGAGTTTAGTTTTTTAAACAGGTATATGTGAAAAGAGAATTTAATAGGAATTCCAACCATTCAGACCGTTTTGATAAGCAATCTAGAGGATTCAAGCAGAGGAATAAACTCTCTAATTCAGGGTTTTCCACCTAAATTATTCAGTAAGTGATTTCAGATCTGTGCCTCCTGCTCATGTAGATGACAGCCTAAGACTCCGTCCATATTGTGCTAAGGACGATAGATTGTTGCCCAGCTAACCTGGCCTATCAGGTCATCTAGGACCAAGACAGCCAAGAGCGAGGGAGGACATGGCCTATTCTAAACTTTGTTCAGTTCAAGTACAGACCCTGCCGAGAACACACCGCTAAAGCTTTCAAGGAAATCGGACGTGAAGTGTTCAAGCATTATTCTGAGCATTGGAAGTCCATGAAAATTTGTGGAGAATCTAATAAATGTGACAGATGTGGTTAAACAGTGGATTCATTTCATGACGGATAAAAGAACGAACAGCAGTGATGTTACATCGGCTGTAACGTGATTTTTCTCTTAAAGCCTTTTAAGAGAAAGGAGTATTTCCCCCATTATAAGGTTAAAACTTTTCTATTACTCAATGGTATCCGCCCAGAGTACTTTTATACCCAGTAGCGGGGTCAGTGTTTGTGCAGTGCTGGAAGAAATCGAGATTGTTTCTTAAAACGTAAAATTCATGACCTATGTGTCCAAGTGACTTAAAAAGAAAGAAAAACCAACTGTAAGCCTCTTGCTGATTAACATACATAGCCAGCATGCTTTTACTTCTTTTTAGGAATCCTCAAATGCCAGTTTCAAACAGGAGCATAGATCTATTTTTACATACTGGGTTTTACGTCTATTTGGGTTTTGAAGCTTATTCAAGTGCTACAACGTCTATTGATTTGTTTTGCACTAATGTTTCCTTTAAACGTCTGGGACTTTTGCACGCATATTCTATCTAGTGAACTACACTGTACCAGACCACTGTCTGTTGCCAGCAGTCAGCTAGTCACACAATTAAATACACACTGATAACTGATGTTTTGGTTTGATTGTCATTTATTTTTCTTTTAAATAGACTCCCTCTGAATTTGGGAAGCAAGGTATGAGGAGGAACCACAGGACATGGCTCTCCCACCTTTTCTTAAGTAGCCCTACCTACATATTTTAAGTTATAGAAAAACACACAAACAAATAAAAACGACAGCACAAACAGCGATCGTGACTGTCATCCTTTAAATTAGTTCCCTGACTTCAATATACTTCCCTGGTATAACCGACCCATTGGTGGATGTTCTGCTATGTTTGACAGGTACCCTAAGTGTACAATGACCTGGCCCTTGGAATGGTTTGTAAAGATGTCCATATTGCACAAGAATGAGCTGCTTGCTGACTCAAATAACGTATCGAATGTACATGCTTTCAAATCGTCGACATCCTTAACCAGTTACCACAGTCTAGACTCTATGGGCAAAGACAAGCAAATCATGGCCGTTTGGAAGTGCTGTGACATGGAAAATTCCAGGTGACTTTATATTTTGCAAGTTCTTTGCTCCTACAGCTGAATACTTCACACGTTTATCTTCCTCCTGAGTCTCCAAAAGTGCTTGGTCTCCCATTTCACAGACAGAAGGGGGAAGGGCTGTAGCAAAAAGCTGTAGCCAGCTGTTCTAGAGACAATGTGCTGGTACCGGGGTGGATGTGAGTCCTCAAGCAGGCGTCTTGAGCCAGCAGCACTGGTGGGTGGGTCACGTTGAGGGTAGAATTTGATGGGGAATCTAAGAATAACTCTGCAGGGGCATGTTTTCTAAGAACGGTCAAAGAATTCTTCAGCTTGGCTTTGCCTCACTGGAACATGGAGTTAAAAAGAAAATCCCATCACCAAAATGGCAGCTCAGTGTCCCTCCAGCTGGATTCTGGACTTACTCCCTCATCCTGAACCTTTCCTTAGCGCGAGCTGACCGCTCCCTTTGGGAGCGCTCTGACTCCTTGGCCATGCGTAGGAGGAAGGAAGAAACCCATCCTTTGCCGTAGCAGCTGCCTCGATTTGTGAAGACAATTCTCGAAAGCCTTGTTAGCTAGGTAAGCATCCAGAGAGAATGAATTTTATCCCTGAATCAAGTCTTTTTCTCCTTCACACAGTCTCATCATGAGAGCTTTAAAGCGTGAAAGGAAATATGCTAAATTATTCTGAGCTGTCCACTGAGAAGGTGGTGCAGACTTTCCCACTATTACTAAACACACAGAAAGACCCTTCTCCCAAAGGCTTGCTAAAGCCTTTCCATCTCATTCACTGGTGTGGCTTATTCCTGTAGCAAGGTCTCTCTCCAGTTAAAGCCCCCAGTTGGTCCATGGGTAAGAGGAAGGATAGGTGGGTCTGTCAGCTGCCATATTCCAGTTTCTCCCAGTTCTTCACAGGAACAAAACCCCAGGTATGGGATCTGAAGTCAGAGTAGTAAAGATAGGGAAGAATAGAAAACAGAGGTTTAATGCTTTAACTTTTACCTAGACACAAAGATCTTCAGGTGGCCCATGAGAATAAAGAGTATTCATTGGGGCGCCTGGGTGGTTCAGTCGGTTAAGCATCTGACTTCGGCTCAGGTCATGATCTCACGGTCCGTGAGCTCGAGCCCTGCATTGGGCTCTGTGCTGACAGCTCAGAGCCTGGAGCCTGCTTCGGATTCTGTGTCTTCCCCTCTCTTTGACCCTCCCCCCGTTCATGTTCTGTCGCTGTCTCAAAAATAAGCAAACATTAAAAAAAAAATATTCACAGGCATTAATAGGGGCTCGGTAGACCTGCGTCTCTTCGAAGAGTCAATAAAGACAAATGAGATGGACAAAGCTGACAAATTAGAGGGAAGAGTATTTACACTGCAAGGGGATTCATCGGAAGGCTTTATTAAATGGTGAGCTCCCTAGTGTAATTAAGTAATTGTTTATAGATTGCTTCTTGATTGTGTGGGAGGAAAGAGGACAATAATGCAGAAAGCTGAGGTGCTCAGAGTTGATTCTTAATTGCAAATCAAGCTAAAAATGCAGCTTGGACATTTCAGAAATAATATTGGGGCAATGAGAGAGAGGATGCTACTTTTAAAAATATTTCACCCAGTTTTGTCCTTTTTTTTTTTTTTTCTTTTGGCATGGGCACCTATAACATTCAAAGCGGGCGCTGTGCCATTCCTAAATTCAGCTCGAAACGTATTTTTGTGTGTCACCAGAGCTGCAGTTATACACAAAAGCAAAAATCTCTGCCCTCAAGCAGCTTACGGAGTCACGGGGAGACGTGGACGCATAAATAAGCTTTTAAAAACGGAGAAAAAGAATCGCAATTGAGTTTGGATCAGGTTCTCCGGGGGCAGATACAGGAAGCACGTAACTCAGCCTGGAGGGAAGCGTGTGGGAGGGCCACTGACAGGAAAGCCTCTTGCACAGGCATGAGAAGGAAGAAGCCAGATGTGTTGGTCAGTCTCATGGGTTTTGTCTTATGGCCTTGTTCCTGGTTTGCCCAACAGCCCGATCATTTAAAAAAAAATTTTTTTTTTTTTTTTTTACATTTATTTATTTTTGAGAGACAGAGCACAAGTAGGGGACGGGCAGAGAGAGGAGACACAGAATCCGAAGCAGGCTCCAGGCTCTGAGCTGACAGCACAGAGCCCGACGTGGGGCTCGAACTCACACACCGTGAGATCATGACCTGAGCCGAACTCGGATGCTCAACTGACTGAGCCACCCAGGCGCCACCAGCCTGATCGTTTTAAATCACTGCTTGCTTTGGCCTACCTGCCAGGCCCTCTCTTCTGGCTGAGGCTTCAGATGCTCCGTGTTGGTCCACTCCCCCCTCTTCATCCAATCCATGGCCCCCCGAGGGAAATCCAGACAGTCTGCTGATAATTCTTAGCTCCTTTCTAAATGTGCACTCTTAGCAACTAAAACCAGCTCAAACACATCTCTCTTCCACAAGGCCTCATAAAGTGCCTTACACAGAGCACCACTCAGGACATCTTGGTCGAGTGAATCAATATGTGCGTATTCCCAGCTCAGGATAAACTCGTGCTGCAAACAACTTAGCTACCGGCCAGTCATCGAACTGCTCTGAGACTACTTGGCACCACAGGCCTCCGAAATGTAAGTGTGAATTACCTTTCGGACCATTTGTACAAAGTCCTTGGAGTTCTGGGGTGACAGACCCTGGAGCTGGCAGGTACATGCTTCAAGGGAAGATGCGTGAGCCACAATCAGGATGTTATTTCCTGGAGAAGAGAAAAAAAAAAAAAAAAAAAGGCAAGGGACTGGGAAGACCATTCCTATAAAGACCTATGTTAACTCCATAAATACTGGAAGACAAATGTTCCAGGGAGGGACAAACATTCTCAAGAATGAGACAATTTGGCTAAGCGATTGTTAAGGCAGCCTAACATCATTAAAAAACAAACAAACCAACCCTTTTAATCTTAAAATAATTATAGATGCACAGGAGGTTATAATTATGTATATATACAATATATAAAGATTTACAATATATTAAGTTATATAATGTATATACATATATATAATTATACATGTATGACCTCTATATTGTGTAACGTGTACATACACAAACATATATTGTGTGTGTGTATCGTATATATACTATATACTAAACTGTATACTATATATACACACACACACACGCACACCAAGGAGGTCCCATATTCTGGTCATCTAGCCTCCTCCAGTGGTAACATCTTGCCTAGCTATGGTACCCTAGCTCAATCAGGATGTGGATGCTGATACAACCTACTTGGTTTATTTCGGTTCCACCAGGTTTAACCAACGATCTCCTGTGTAACTCTTCGTAACCTCCACAATCAAGATACAAATTATTCTGTGTCTGTAGGGCTCTCTGCCACTTCTAATAACAATTCTCAATGTCACCACTATAGAATTGGGTGAGCACTTCATACTTTCTGGCTGATAGAATATGCTGATGAGTATCTTTACAGTGGGTGCATAGGAGTAGTAATGAAGTGAGTGGTTTATCAATGTTTAAAAAATTTTTATTTTTGAGAGACAGGGAGACACACACACAGAACCTGAAGCAGGCTCCAGGCTCTGAGCTGTCAGCACAGAGCCCGACACCGGGCTCGAGCTCATGAACCGTGAAATCATGACCTGAGCCGAAGTCAGACGCTTAACCGACTGAGCCACCCAGGCGCCCCGAAGAGAAGTAACTTAAAAAGGAATGGTAATGCGCATACGCTTTTGTAATCCTTTTTTATCTAAAAATTTAGAGTGAATTGTCTTATGTATCACTTAATATTTGAGTTCAGTGTTTATAAGATTCAATAGGGAACATACTGGAATCTTCCAGAACACTACTTTTGGTCAGTGCTAGCAGTGACCGTGTATTGGTGAAGCTGTGTTTGTGTGTGGGTGCCTGTGCCCCTGGATCAAATTATAGGCAAAATAGTGTTATGCAGAATTGTAAACTATTTCATACAGTAACTAAGTCTGGTGTATTCCTATGGAATATCTGCCATTTTAGCTACTCAAGAGAGGATATTACAAATTTAACGTGAAAAGTATCTACATGAAAGTCTAGAACTACTTTTCTTTCTCATTAAGTAAGTTAGAATATCTTGAATAGCTTATTAACCAGGATGGAGAAATGATCACATATTTAACATTTGTTTATTTATTTTGAGAGAGAGCACAAGTGCAGAAGGGGCAGAGAGAGAGAGAGAGAGAGAGAGAGAGGGAGAGAGAGAATCTCAAGCAGGCTCTGCACTGTCAGCACAGAGCCCGACGCGCAGGGCCTGAACTCACAAAACCGTGAGATCGTGACCTGAGCTGAAATCAAGAGTTGGACGCTTAACCAACTGAGCCACCCAGGCGCCCCTAAATGATCACATTTTAAAATATGGAGTCCAAAATAATACCACCTACCTTTACTTTTACATTCACTTATTATTTCTTTTGTTACTTGGAAACTTCTACTAATATAAGTGTCATAGGATTCTGAAACCACTAATTTGCCGACTGGAATGTGAGGTCTGTAATAGAAAAATGAACAAAGGCAATGAAAACATTTTGATCCCAAGACAAAGCAACTGATATTATTCTAAACTTTTTCTTTCAAGACCTTTCTGGAGTTCCATGTTTCTGTTCACCCATTTCCCTAGAAAGGATGGAGGTATAGGGAAGAGTATTTCCACTACATGGAAGTGGGGTCCAAACGTACACAATGCACAGAAATACAGGCTGTGCATGTGTGGTGTTAGAGTGACCGGCTGAAAAATGAAACATTTTTCATTTGCAGATATCACTTGCAGGATAACTCATAAGCAGTTTGACTAATCTTACCATCAGTGCTAGGTCACATTGCTAACGGGAAGCAGAGGTTAGATTGATTTCTTTCTTTCCTTCCTCCCCTTTCTTTTCTTTCTCTCCTTCCTTCCTTCCTTCCCTTCCCTTCCCTTTCCTTCCAACATGTTAACTGTTCTTTTCTTTTTCTTTCATGTTTTATTTATTTATTTTCTGAGAGAGAAAGAGAATGAGCAGGGGAGGGGCAGAGAGAGGACAGAGACAGAGAATCCCAAGCTGGTTCTTGGCTGTTAGTGCAGAGCCTGAGGCGGGGCTCGAACTCACCAACTGTGAGGTCATTACCTGAGCGGAAACCCAGAGTCGGATGCTTAACCGACCGAGCCACCCAGGCGCCCCCCTCTCTTTCTCTCTTTAGATCACCAGAGATTTCCTAAGCCTCTCTTCTGTAGCCTTACCCATGAGAAGCTGTAAGGATAGGTTTTATTTATTTTTACATTGTTTCCAGATTTATTGGGATAGAATTGACACTTACCGTCATGAAAGTTTAAGGTGTAAAAGTGTTGATCGGATACCCTTACATACTACAAGACGATTTCCACTGTAGTGTTGCCTAGCACTTTCGTCACGTCACATAATCAGTTTCCTTTTTGTGGTGAGAACATTTATGTTCGACCGTCTTGGCAACTTTCAAGTATGTAATACAGTATTATCAACTATAATCCCCACAGTGTGCATTAGATCCCCAGAACTTATCAACTAGAAGTTTGTACACTTTGGCTGACATCTCCCCATCCCTGCCCCCGCTCCTGTTTCTACCACATTCTACTCCTGTTTCTGGGAGTTTGGCTTTTTAGATTCCATAAACGAGTGATATCATGCGCAGATACCTCTTTGAGATACTGTATTCATTTCCTTTGAATATTTGCCCAGAAGTGGGATTGCAGGATCCTACGGGAGTTCTATCTTTAATTTTTTAAGGAATCTCCGTATTGTTTCCCATAGTGGCTACGCTGACCTACATGTTCACCAACACTCAACAGCTCTTTTCTTTTTGATGACAGCCATTCTCACAGGTGTGAGGTGGTATCTCATTGTGGTTTTAAATTGCATTTCCCTACTGGAGAGTGTTATGCTAAGTGAAATAAGTCATACAGAGAAGGACAGATTCCATATGTTTTCACTCTTATGTGGACCCTGAGAAACTTAACAGAAGACCATGGGGGGAGGGGAGGAAAAAAAAATGGTTAGAGAGGGAGGGAGCCAAAACATAAGAGACTCCTAAAAACTGAGAACAAACTGAGGGTTTATGGGGGGTGGGAGGGAGGGGTGGGTGGGTGATGGGTATTGAGGGCACCTGTTGGGATGAGCACTGGGTGTTGTATGGAAACCAATTTGACAATAAGTTTCATAATAAAAATTGCATTTCCCTGACCACATGATATTGAGCATCTTTTCATGTACTTGTTAGCCATTTGTATGTCATTTTTGGAAAAATATTGGTGAAGTTCTGCCCATTTTTAATCAGATTTTTTTTGGTACCAGTTCTTCATATGTTTTAGGTATTAACCCCTTATCAGAGGTAGGATTTGTACATATTCTCTCCTATTGTGTAGGTTGCTTTTTCATTTTTTAAATTCTTTTGCTTTGCAGGAGCTTCTTAGTTTGATGTGGTCTCACTTATAAATTTTGGCGACTGTTACTTGTGCTTTTCGTGTCCCATCCAAAAAATTGTTGCCAAGAGCAATGTCAGGGAGCTTTTTCCCTATGTTTCCTTCTGGAGGTTTTATGGTTTCAGTCGTTATGTTTTAAGTGTTTAATCCATTTTGAGTTAATTTTTGTGACTGCTGTGTCTGCAGGCTGTTATACTATTTTCCCAACACCATTTATCGGAGAGACTATCCTTTCCTCACTGAGTATTCTCGGCTCCTTTATCAACTGTTAGTTGAACGTATTGGAGGGTTTATTTCTAGGCTATCAATTCTGTTCCATTGGTCTGTGCCTATTTTCATGCGAGTACCATACTGTTTGGATTACTATAGCTTTGTAGTATAATTTGAAGTCAGCAAGTGTGATGCTTCCAGGTTTGCTGTTTTTTGTTGGGTTTACTTTGGCTATTTACGATCTTTTGTGGTCTCATACAAATTTTAGGATTGTTTTTTCGATTTCTGTGGAAAACACCGTTGGGATTTTGATAGGGATTGCATTTAATCTACAGATGGCTTAGGGTAGAATGGACATTTTAATATTGTTAATTCTTCTCATCCACGAATATGGGATATCTTTCTATTTGTGTCCTCAGTTTCTTTCATCAGTCTTGCAGATTTCGGTGTACAGATCTTTCACCTCTTTCGTTGAATTGATTTCTAAGTCTTTTATTGTGTTTGATGCTATTGTGAATGGGATTGCTTTATTTCTCCTTTAGGTGTGTTGTTGTTAGTGCATAGAAACACAAATGATTTCTGTACGTTGATTTTGTATCCTGCAACTTTACTGAGTTTGTTGACTAGCTCTGACAGCCTTATGGTAGTCTTTAGGATTTTCTATATATAAAATCATATGATCTGCAAACAAAGACATTTTTACTTCTGTGTTTCCAGTTTGGATGCCTTTTATTTCTTTTTCTTACCTGATGGCTTTGGATAGGCTTTTTCAGTACTTTGTTGAATATGAGTGGTAAGAATTGGCCTTGTTCCTGACATTAGAGGAAAAGCTTTCAGTCTTTCACCATTGAGTTTGATGTTAGCTGCAGGCTGGTTGTATATGGCCTTTATTATGTGGAGGTGTATTCCTTCTACACCCAATTTGTTGAGCATTTTTATTATGAAGGGATGGTATATTTTGTTAAATGATTTTTCTTCCTGAGGTGAACATACGATTTTACCTTTCATTCTATGTAGTGTATCCTATATTGATTTTCGTATGTTGGACCATCCTAGCATCTGAGGGATAAATCCCACTTGGTAATGCTGGCCTTGTAAAATGAGCTGGGGAGTTGAAAGGATAGGTTTTGCAAGCAGCTATTAGGTCCATTGGGTCTGTGAGCTTATAAAATCTTCACCAGTCTTTTCTTTCTTATTTTGAACACAGACCGTCCACCTGGAACTGGGAAAAGCTCAGGGAACACAGAGACAAAGAGGAACCGAGTTTCTGTGCTTGAGGAGCCCTCAGTGTGTGGTCGGGGTGAGCCGGCTGTCGATGTAAATGGTAATTATGACGCATTGTACGAAGCCATATAAGGGGATGATCAATGCAGGGCCCTCCCATCTTGGTGACCCTGCATGTCTTCAATCTCGGCCACTTCTGCCGCTCCCCTCTCCATTTACTACTTAGGGTTGCTAGTCTAGGAGATGTGTATCTTGTTTTCGAGTACAACTGTGTCATATTTTCTGTCTTATTTTGTCTTTCACTGTTGGTGTTTAGTGGAGGGTTGATGGAGGTAGTAGTGAGTTATCAAAGTGAATTTGCGTGGCCTCTTGATCAGAATACATTACTGCTACCACTGCAAAGGTTTACTAAAATACTCCCACGTGTCAGGCTCTGTACAAAGAGCCTTACTTGCATTCATTGAGTATAGCCCTCCCAGCGACCCTTTGGCAAATCCCGTTCATGGTTGACAAGACAGGCTCAGAAAGTTTAGAGATGAGTTGCCTATACTTAACATCATTAGCAACTCTTAGGGCCTGGATTTGAACCTGGGTCTGAGATTAATACTGGTAAACTTATCCTCCATTTTGGATGGCTTCTGAAAGTGCCTCCCTTCCCCCACCCCTTCTGTGCACTTGGGTTTACTGTCCAGAGAGGAACGATGCTATTCCATTTGAAGGAAACCTGCCCGCATCGAAATCACATTCCCTCAGCAGGCTTACTTCTCCTAGGAAACAACCTTCTGTGTCTCACCATACCCTGGGGATAGGGGGAGACATGAATCACCACTTTTAGGGACGCACCTCATTGTTCTGAGCAAGCTCTTTCTTCCATCATCACCTCTCATCTAGTTCCGTGGTCTCCCGGGAGCCCCAGACAGTGACAAAAGGCCACTTTGTGTGGTCTAGGGAGTCCTTTCCATGGTGAGATCACATTGTAATGTGGGAGATTTGTGGAAGTAAAGAGCAGGTAGATGCTGGGATCGAGTTCCTCCTGGCTAATTTCCGCCTTTGTCTGTTCTTGCCTTGAAGTTGAACCCATGAGAGGCTTACCACGTTTGAACTAGTTCTGATGGGGGTAGGACAGAGTCCACGCTTCCTCACCCCTGTCTACAAGCACACGCCATGCCTCCAGCCACAACCGCAGGACTCATGGACTCCACTCAGAGTCAGGTAGGCCTCCAACCACCAGCTAGACCTGGAACCCAGGGAACCGGGTACTCGGGTAGCCTTCCTGGAATAGTATTCTTCCCAGTATGTACTCTGTTCCACACTTTGATTTAGGCTATAGGGTGGACTTCTGCCTTGAGCCCCACACCAAAGTATGATTCATTGCCCCTCTAACACTCCAGACTCATGCCCCATCCACACCTAGTCAGAGCCCTATTCTGAAGCCCTACCCAACTGGTGTATATTTTATTTTTTCTGCCTTGGTCCTTCTGGCCCAGCTCCCTAAGACTGGGGCTGCTTTTTACACCCAGGCCCCAGGCTCAGTCTTGGTGCCTGTGGATGATGCTTGGATATTAGTCACCAGGCTGGTTTTGCTTTACTGTTGACTTTTACAGAGTTAGAGGCTTCATCTCTTTCTCTCCCCCTCATATACAAAAATGATCGGATGGAATTCTGATTTTCTGTAGGGGAAAAGAAAACCTGGAATAAGGACCACGTCCTGGCCCCCAAGATGGTGCGTGGGTCTGCGTGTGCATTGCAAGGCTCAGACAGGGTGATTCTGGGAACTCTGTAAAATCAGCTTGGGAGGAACTGCAGGATGCATTTAAGGGGAAACCCAAGACATAGACTTGCCCCAGGATGGCCTGGGAGGTGCTGCGTGGTGAGTGAGGAAAATCATTTCACCAATGTTGGCAATCACTCACCCTCTTTCCAGCCCGGAGGGATGAGGGCTGTTGGACAACAATTTATTGCCTTTCCCCCAAAGGACAGAAAAACAGTTGCCACAGGGTAGATAGGACAAACTGTGAAGTACAGTTCAGCCTTGAGCAATACAGGTTTGAACTGCATGCGTTCACTCATACGCATGGAATTTTTTTTTTTTAAATAAATACAGTAGTGTCCCTTTATTTTCTTTGATTTTCTTAACATTGTCTTTTGTCTTCCTTAGAACATACAAAATATGTGTTAATTAACTACTTATGTTACCAGTAAGGCTTCCAGTCAACAGTACGGTGTGAGTAGTTGAGTTTTGGGGAAATCAAAAGCTCTACGTGGATTTGACTGTGTGGGGGTCAGCTGCCCCACCACCTGTGTTGTTTAAGGGTCAACTGCCTATTAGTAGGGGATCTGATGGATTTAACTGTATTTTTGAGGAATGCTAATTCCGTTAAGCAAGTAGCACTTATTAATTAATTTAGGGGGTAACCTGAAGTTTCATTTACAGAAGAGGAAAATGAATATGGAAAAAAGGCATTTTCTCCTATCTTGGCCAGAAGCTCACATTGCTTCATTTGTGGTTGGGGTAGGTATTTGAAATGAAATGTCAAGGGACACCACAAGGAGGACATTTCTGCTTCAGTTGGTCACTTGCTTCCAATTCTGCCTTACGAAACATGAACTTAATTCCCCACCACGATGGTCGTGAATATCCCTTTCTCAGGGACATTTTACAAAATGCCTGAGTGGCGTTTTGATAGTTAATTGTTTACATGTGGATTATTCGTTTGTGATCAATCTGCAAACACTTCTTTTTACTCCCCGCACAGACTGGTCTAATGGCAAGAAGCAACGAACTAGGAATGGGGAAGACGGTAAAGCAGGTTACACAGTTCCTGACATGCAGAAAATGATCAATAGAGGTTAGTTGTTGTAATCATTGTTAGGTGTGGCCACTTAAACATATGACTTTAGGCAAGCTGCTGGGACTCTCTTATAGATTAGAGTGGCTTTCCTACACTCTGGGGTTCCAGCAATAATAAATGAAGATAAAGACAATTAGAAATACTTTGAAAGAGGACAATCCAAGGCAAGACCTTGTGATTTCCCTTATCACCCAACAAGCTTCTGGAACCACATCATCACTAGCCGGTGCATAATCCTGGAGTGCAAAGTGGTTTTATTATTCCCTGAAAGAGATATAATAAAGTCAGGAAAGTCCAATGTGTGGGGCTTTCCTAAATATAAGGGAACTATATATATTATATTATATATCATATATATGTATATATATGTGTATATATACATATATATGATATATGATATATATGGATATATATATGGATATGTTATACAATCATATATATATGTATCTAGGCATATATAATATCATTGGAGAAAGAGCTAACGATATACATATAATAACCATATATATGTATGGTCTGTGTTATTACATAATAATATTACATATATTAATGTGATATACACATGTTACGTGCATATAAACATATACATGTATATACATTATTGATACACATGTATATAAAAGACATATACATGCATGCTGGAGCAATATTGTTGGAGCCGTATATATATGGTGCATATAGATGAAGAGTATGAACATTCTCCATATATGAATATCATATATGTATATATACAGCATATATATGTATCTATATATATACACATATATATACATATATACATATATATGTATATACATATATATGTATATATGGTGTATATAGATACATATATATGATATGAACAACATATATATATGTTATATGTATAACCTTAAATATAAAGGGATGCTGGCTTTCTCCAGTTGTGGTTTTTCAAAATCAGAACTTGACTTCCACCAATATGGACAACTGCCCACAGGCTACAACTAGTCCTTCCTCTTCGTGGTTAGCCTGGCGTAGAAAAGTGCTTCCGCATCGACTCTGGGAAGTAGCAGCGCGGAGGGTTACCTGTAGGTTGTATCAACACTCAGGTTGGCTGCAGCTAACTCTGATGGAGGTATCCACGCAGGTAAGGTGTTCCCAGCAACCCATTTTGTCCACTCAAATAAGCCAGGCTCTACACGGATCTTCAAGTGATTTTCTTGTTGTAGACCTTAGAGGTAAAATAAAATGAAGATGAAGGCAATACCACTGTGTTCTCAGTGGAGAAGTAAATCAGAGGCCAAGTTGCTATAAAACTTCGGGTAAATCTGTTCTCTTTTACCCGTTGCTCTACACGGCTACAAGAAGGTGGAAAGCATGTGGGTTTGGACAAGGGTTTTTAATTTCCATGTGTGACAGACATTCGAGTTTAATACTCTGGCCACACCAACAGGATGTACGCTGGCTTTAAGTGGTCTCTGACTTAAGGAAAAGAACACAAGTCCTTCCCCCATATAATGTATACACTTCTGTGACTACAATTCCTTTTTCTAAGGTAAGTCCCAAGATTGCCTTACTAAGGAACTTAAGGGGTGCCAGGGTGGCTCATGGCTTGAGCATCCGACTCTTGATTTTGGCTCAGGTCATGACTCCAGGGTTGTGGGATCGAGCCCTGTGACTAGCCTGCTTAAGATTCTCTCCTTCTCTCTCCCAGACTCTCTCTCTCTCAACAACAAACAAAATTTCAGAAAGTCTCTTAGCATCCACTACTCTACAATAGCTTACACTGTATTTGAATATCATGTAAATTACTCATTTTCTCTACCAGAAAATCCAATGTTGAATATTTGCAAGTGCCAGTGCACAAGTCTTGTGTTTTTTCAAAGGGTGATTACTCACAGAGTGGGACTGGTCCCTTTTTAACATTCTTTGTATTGCCTTTTGCCCAGTTTTTCTGTGCAAATTTAGTACATACGGTATTTTAATACACACATGTATTCTGGTTTACTTAAGGAAGTCTCAAAGATAGTGTAAATTCTTCATTGGCTTGGCTATTTCTGGCTCCTTTGTTTTTTGGTATAAGTGAATAGTTCCCCTCTGTTTCTTCTACTCTTCCTTCCCATGAAATGAGACTGGAGATCCCTGTAACTGAAGCATCCCCAGATTTTCGGGTGAAAGTTGTGTATCTTTATAGCAATGGTACTTTTAAAGTCATCCAATTAACTAAAGAAACAAGGATGATTAAGATTTGTAGACACTTAGGAGCATCGTTGCTACTATAAACGAGAAGCAACCAGAGCAGAGTGGGAGGAAATGATTTCACTGTTTCACTGCAAAAAAGGGATCACTCTGTAGGCTCCAAATTATTGCTAGACAACGATATTCTACAAGGCTACCGTTCATCCAAGAGGGCTTTGCATTTTCTTTTTTTATTTATTTATTTTTTTTTTATTTTTTTTTTTTAATTTTTTTTAAATTTTTTTTTTTTTTCAACATTTATTTATTTTTGGGACAGAGAGAGACAGAGCATGAATGGGGGAGGGGCAGAGAGAGAGGGAGACACAGAATCGGAAACAGGCTCCAGGCTCTGAGCCATCAGCCCAGAGCCTGACGCGGGGCTCGAACTCACGGACCGCGAGATCGTGACCTGGCTGAAGTCGGACGCTTAACCGACTGCGCCACCCAGGCGCCCCCAGGGCTTTGCATTTTCAAGAGAAAAATTGTTTATCCTTTCATCTTATTTAGGCCACCAGAGTATGATTTGGGGACTCTTTGCAAAGACCTCTTCCATAGGAATCCTGGCTAAAAATTCCAAAAATTTTTAAGTTTTTCTTTGAGAGGAAAAGTACAAGTGAGAGAGAGGCAGAGAGCGAGAGGCACCGAATCCGAAGCAGGCTCTGAGCTGTCAGCACAGGGCTCGAACCCACAAACTGGGAGATCATGGCCTGAGCCGAAGTCAGATGCTTAACCAACTGAGCCACCCAGGCGCCCCTAAAAATTCCCAATGTGAAGCTCTCAATTGGCTCATGTCCCGTGAGTCCAGGGTAATTTGGGTGTGGGGCTGCCTAGCGGCAGAAGGGTGGAGTTAGCCGACCTTTGTCGAGTCTAACCTTTCAAGATGTTGTACGCAGTCTGAACACAACGCAGAGATGGGGAGCAGTAGACGTGGTCGATAATGGTGTTGCTCTCTAATAAGGCTTCACCTGCAAAGGAAGGCAGACCGTTTGCTGAATTCACCCAGCCTCAGCTGGACCTCCGTGTGGGAGGGGGTGGCGGGCAGAGCCTGCGAACCCCTTTTTCAGCAGGGGCTCACACAGAGCCGGCAGTATCAGCCTTGTTTCTGGCCCATCCCCTCATCTGTGTTCCCATGAAAGAGCCCCGGTGGAAGACCCCCCCGCCTCGTCTTTTTCTCTGCTTCTCTCTGGTGCTAACGAGCAGCAACTTACCCATCTAGGAGAGACCCCGAAACCTGACCGCGCTCTGATTTGCCACTTGTGATGTAAGCGAGATGGTTTCTATTGTGACCGTTAGGTCTTGTTTCACACTTATCCCGTGCCGAACAAGATCTCAACCTGTCATCGTCTTATTAGAGAACAGAGGTAGATCCCAGCACCTGCTGCTTCCACACTTCCTCACAGAATACGCTTCTTTTCTCTACTGGATAAAGTCTAGATGCCTTAATATGGGGGGCCAGGTCTTCCGTAAACTTGTCTTTATCCGCGTCACCAACCTTCTCTCCTGTGTGGCTCACAAGCCATGTTCTAGAAAACGAGAGCTTTTTCCCAAGTACTTTTGATATTATTTCTCACATTTATGACTTCGTTTTTCTCCCCTCTTGGGAACATACTTCCCACCTTCCCGCTCTTTCTCTACCCAGCTGACTTCCCTTCTCTTTGTGTGTGTGTGTGTTTTAATGCTCCCATATTACTCTGTACACAGTTCTATTCCTGACGATACCAGACTGTACAAGTTTGTTCCCCTGAGGGCGGGGACTCTGCTTGCGTCCCCGGCACCTAGCAAAGGACCTCGCCCCAAGCGATCAGTGAATATGTTAAATGATCGAACAGGACAAGGCTGCTGTCTCTGCCTGGCAGGTATGGAACAGACCTGCAAAGAACGGACCGTCTTCAAAGGATCAGTTGGCCTGTCTACATCCAGCCACTCCAGGATTCTCCTCCCCTGCGCAGTAGACGCTGACCTTGCCCCATCACTGGGCCACACAGCCCTCAAGGGGTCACACCTGCTTCACTTTGGTAAACCGGCCTAGCACCCAGCACAGTGTCCTGAACTTAATGGTTATGTAATAAATCCCTTTTGAATTGGAGAAATACACTACTTGTAGGAAAGTTGGAGGAAGCCCTGGGAAGTGTCCTGGCCTGCCCACTGCTCCTTTGGAAGGAGCAGCCAGGAGAGGCTGTGCAATCACCCCAGGACACTCACCCACCAGTCTTGCTTGCATACATCCAAACACGGTGATCGGAGCATCTTTCTCATAGTCCCGGAAACCACCACTCCGCTGAGGTAAGCTATGAGGCATGTTCAGGTTGGTGCGTATGTAGCGGCCTGGAAAGAAAAGAAAAAAAAATCAGACAAAAGACGACTTTCTGCTTTCCTCAGGACTTCTGTTGCTGATCCCGACAGCCCTCCACTTCCATTCCTTGTTTGGCCAAAGACACCGAATTGAACTTTCTAGAAACTATTGAGGCTGACGCTTTTTCTGTGGTAGAGTCTTGGAATCCACCCCTCCGTTCTACTGACAGAAAACTACCTCTTGCCACGTCTGTGTGAAAGTAACAACCATACACTGGAAGGCAGGAGAATTCTGTGCTATGCCGGCTTCTCTTGGACATGTCACTCAAAGGGAACTGGAACCAAAATGAGCCAGGGTGATTTAATGGAGGGAATTCTGGCCACAGAATCAGGACACCTGTCTCTGCCTCGGCCAAATGACCACGGGCGAGACATTTGTTTCTTTGGTCCTTGGTGTCCCAGTTTATGGAATAGGGGACAAGAACACTTACCTCTTCGCTAACACTCAAGACAATCGGGAAGGACTTAGATTGTAACACATTCTGGGCATTTCCTATATAGCACGGGAACCAGGAAGGACTCCCGTCTAGACGAATGTAGCTTGACTGTGCCCCCTAGAGGCCATAAAAGGTACGCCGATGCTAAGCAGGCCAACGCAGCACTCACCTTTGGCATCAAAGCACTGGGATAGCCAGTACTTCCCAAACACAACATCCATCCTCTCACCGTGCCGACACACAAAGAGGCATCTCTTCTGAGGGCCAGGCTGGCTATTGACCCTCAGGGGCTGCAGAGCAAGAAAGGCCATTAGTAGGGGGGGGGGGCGGGGAAAGCACAGAAGAAAACGGACATGTCCTGGAGCCAGGTGCCAGATGAGCAGAACTGAGCTCTAGGACAAGGGCCCCGCAATGATCTTGGATTAACGTTGGCAGGTCTGTAACACAGTGGGGGCAGGAAGACGCCTCCTACAGACCTCACAAGTTAGTTTGAGGCTCAGATGAGATGAATGGCACGCGTTCTGCAAAATCAGAAGGGCTGTGAAAATTGCCTCACCGTTGCGGTTGCGGTTGCCGGTGTGGGACTAGCATTTGGCTGGCAGGGGAACGGGCAGACCACTTGGGCTACCGCTCAGAGGTACATCCAGCCAGTACATGCCTCTAGTCATCTAGCCCCCCCTCTACAGGGATACTTCATCAACTTCAGAGGGCGAGGACTGTTAATCACAACAGTGCCTGCCTCCCCTCTAACACGTGGTGGGTAGACCGAATGGACGGTCTCCTCCAGCGACGAGGTTCTTCTCTGGCTATTCTAATCGTACTTTTGGCTCTCTTGTCTGGCTACACGCGTGTTGGTGTTCCCGCAAATGGTTCAGGGAGGTCAGCGGTGACGAAATAGGCCAGTCTAGTCAAAGGCGTGTCCAAATGACCTTGGGTTCTGGAAGTGCTGGGTGGATCCTTCCACATGTGTCTATATTCCTTCCTTCTGATGGTCAGCTATTCCCCGTTTGCTTCGTGTGGTCACCTTCACGTGGGCTGGTACTTTACACGTGCTGCCCGTTAGTTGCCCCGACAGGGTTTATAGGTGGGATAATGGCATGATCTTTCCTGTTTCTTCTCCTGCTCGTCCCTAATTCGGGCCCTGGGCTCCAGCCAATGTGATCTAGTCTCTTGATCCTCCACTTGCCTCTGCCTCTCTCGTTCCAAACGATCCCCACCCCCACGTTCCCCATTTTGCAACATGTGTGGCATCTGTTGAGCACTCATACATACAGGTGCCAGGCACTGTGCCGAGGGCCTTATTTTCTTTTTAATCTCACGATGGCCTACGAAACGGAACTATTACGACTTTACAGGTAACATGTCCTTCCCTCTGTAGAACCTCTCCCTCTGCCAGCCTAGACCCAGATGCCGGTAGGTGCGATCAGTACCACCCACCCGACTCTCCCTGGCCTGAAATTCTGTGCGTCTTTTATAAAATGGTGCGTCGTCGCCCCCAAGAGACCTAGGACCCTTGGGGGCACCGAGGGCAAGCCCTCACACCCCGCGAGGACGTGCTCAGTGAATCCTGAAGCAGAGTCGAGGATGCGGCCCCGATGGTCAGCCTTACCTGCGTGGGCTGGCAGATGATAGTCAGGGGAGCCGTCTCCCCCAGGCCCTGGTCCTCATACTGCCGTCTGTCCACCACACCATCGCCAAATGAGAGGGCGTTAGAAGACGCCGTGTTCAAGATGGAGTGAGAACTGTAGGGGAAGATGAGGACGCCGTGAACTGTTTGGGCCAGGAGTCATTAGCACGTCACCCTTGGGCTCAAGGGGGAGCGTGGGAATTCGCGGGAAACACGCCCAGGGCGACGGGTGGGAAAGCCGAGGAGGCGACACCCCCTTTCGGGAGGGGAACAGCTTGTTCTCTACTTAGGTCTATTGCAGTGGCTAAACTAGGGGAAGATGGGTTTCCGTACTTGGAACAGATGTGTTCATCTCTCTGGGTAGGGATGGGGCCCTGAGTTCGTGCCAATCAGGATGCCACCGCCGCGGCTGGCGCCGAAGGCATGTTAAAGAATAATGAGTTTTCAATTTTGTGCCATGGTTTCCAGCTATTTTTCTGGCTCCAAAGAAGAAAACAATTCCTGTTGCCTTTAATCTTTTCCATGGCGATTTCCACCCGAACTGACAAACGAGAGGGAGGATCTGTACTGTCTCCACCAGTGTGCCTGTGGCTCTTAACTGATGGAGGAAACCCGATGGCCATCATCCTCTCTTCCACCTTCTTCGGTGGCCCCACCCCTCTCCCCAACTCAGTAACACCTCCAACACGATGATTAAACACAGAATTCTCTCGGAGGAAGCCGTTCTCGCCAGATGTATGGAGCCGTGGGCCAAGAGCTCTCATTTCTGGGTTTTACACCGTAGCTACAGAAGCCCCAAAGAGGCCTCGCTGACAGCGAGGCAGCAAATTATGCCATGTTTGAGTTACTGTGATTAGTAAGTCCTCCAAAAGGCTTTATCTAATAAACACTGCAATTCAACTACGGTCGCAAGGCGAATCCAGTGAACATCTCTTTCTGCCTCACTGAGCGGTGTTCAAGGGAGAGCATTTGCATTTGAGATTTCTCGCTTCTTTGCAGCCAGGGTAGCCGTATGTTTCAATCTGCTCAACCCCGGGTCTGTACCTGTTGACCTACTCTGTTCAGGAATATTTCATTTTAACACAGCAGTATTCTTCGAATTTCATTTTGGAAAAGCCCTTTTTATAGTCAGCGATGTAACAAAGCTAACTGGCTGTTAGGAAAACAGTTTTTTTTTAAGGCTCTGCTCTTAAGAATTTTAGGATCCCCTTCCAGTCTCTTTTTTTTTGACTGTAAATAGACTCCTCCTACTGACAAAGGCTTCAGAAGCCTCACACCCTGCAAAAGTGGCCTTTCAGCCCTAGTGCATATCAGAATCGCCAGGAGAGCTTTAAAAAAAAATACACGGCTGGGCCCGACTTGTCACAGATTGTGATTCAGCAGATCTGGGCGCGGGTGGGGGTGGGGGATGGGGGGGTGGCGGGAAGCTGTCATCTAACAAAGCTGCATCAGCAAGTGTGATGTGCAGCCCGAGAGACCAACTGGAAAAATTAAGCAACTGTAGACCAAGAAAATCTAGTGCCATTCACAGTCGGAGAGACAGGCTGTTCTCTTTTGCAAACATCACAGTTAAAGAAAATTTGGTTTCGCCGTCTGATTCATCAAAGCTTCGGGGCCTGAAGTGTCTGGATAGACAGAATCGGCTTGACGTCCTGCTTGTACACCTCCCTTAATTTCTTTATTACAGCTGTGAAGACATTGGCAGAGTCCCTCCTCTCTCTCTCTCCTCTCCAGCTCGGTTGGCAAGGAGAATGCCAACCTTCTTCTCAACTGTCACTGTAATCAAAGGACCGGGCTCACTTTGAGACAGTCTGGTGCTGTCACTTCCATTAAGACAACAGTCAGATGCTTTGTGCTGAGAGATTGCGTAGGGAGGAAGCTGAGCCTGATACCCAGGACATCTTCTCAAGGACCAGGGCCAGGTGCTGGCACTTTCCCAGACACAGCAGTCCTGTGCGTAAGCCCGGAAGGACCGGCCAGCCCCCACCCATAATTCAAAGGACACAGTGGGGCTTCACCAACTGACAAGTACTGAGAGACACTCAGAACCAGGCGAGATGCCCTAGTCAGGGTACTCAGGGGCCACCCGGGTGGCTCGGTCGGTCGAGCGGCGGACTTCCCCTCGGGTCATGATCTCGCGGTTTGGGAGTTCGAGCCCCACATTGGGCTCGCTGTCAGCGCAGAGCCCGCTTCAGAGCCTCTGTCTTCCTCTCTCTCTCTGCCCCTCTCCTGCTCACACTTTCTCTCTCAAAAATAAATAAACATTAAAAAATAGATAAAAAATACTTTCTTATGAGTGACTTAGAACTGAGGAGAACCGGGCAGAAAGGGCGATGAAAGGTCACTCCTTGTGGCCTGAGTCCCCTCTGCGACCTGCCATCGGGTCAGCCAGGTCACTGAAGGAGCATCTCCTGTGGCTGTACCTCCTCAAGGCTAACTTTAGTTGGGGGAGAGAGAAGATCCGTCTTATCAGGAGCCTCCTTACATCATTTCTGCTTCTGGAGTTAAATAGGAAAGTACAGTTCTTCTATAGGATCACCTCGGGAAGAGACATTTGATTGGACAAGCATGTAAGAGAGGACTGGAAAACACGAGGTAGAAAAATCAGAAAGCTAACAGCTTTTTAGCTTCAGTGCTATTACGGGTGTGGCACTTACCCGTGTAAAGCTAAGTCCTTCACTGTGGTCTTTATTATTTTTTTTTTTTTTAATTTTTTTTTTTCAACGTTTAT